TAATATAAAATAATTTAATAGAGACATGAAACATGAGTTAATAAAAAAATAACATACTAATGCGCTAACTATTTTTATTTCCTTCGTTTGTCTTTATCAATTAAAAACATAAAAACATAATGGTTTTCACAATTGTATTATTTACAAAAAATTGTGTTATCTAAACTAGTTGGATATTATTTATGCTTGTACTTGACCTCATAATGATTATTTTATGTCGATTTCGATAAGCCTTCCAAAAAACCTTAGAGGTTTGAAGCATGAAAGTGTCATTTGACTCAAAAGTTTATTGAAGTGATGCCCATTTAAACCACCTACCAATCTAGCATACACAAAAAACCGTAGAGATTCTTTTATTATTTATGCTTCTGCTTAACCTCATAGTAATTATTTTATTTCGAAAAGGCCTTCCAAAAACCCTTAGAGCTTTGAAGCATGAAAGTGTCATTTGACTCAAAAGTTTATTAAAGCACTCCCATTTAAATCACCTATCAATATACCATACACAAAAACCCTAGATGTTCTTTATTCAATTTTGTATGGCACTTGGTAGAGCCGGTAAACATGTCGGGTTCGTGTTCGGTTGACAAAAACACGATGGAAGAGTTTAACATTAACTTTACACATTTAATTTTGGAGTCGGGTTGGGTTAACTTATTTACTTGATATATGTTAAAATTTCTTATCTAAACATGTTTATTTTGTGTCGATTTATGGTGTAGTGTCAATTTTTGTAGCTCTGACACGTAACACTAGCCATTTGACAACGTGAATGTATATATAAACTGATTATCAATTATAAGAGTTAGGTTTTAAGTGAAAATTATAATAATAGTTTTTGATTGTTTATAACAAGAATAATCGGATGGAAATTAATGTTACATGAACATTAAAATAAACATAAAAATATTAGCTTAAAACTCCTAAAAGATAAAATTATTCAAAATCTCTAAATTGTAAGGGAAGTGATTCGTACACAACAGTTTTTTGCCATACACAACAATTCATGTATTATATAGTTGTACAATACAACATTTTAAAGCACCAATTGTTGTGTATGGAGAAAAATTGTTGTGTACAGATCAGCTCCCAAATTGTAAGGGTAAATGTCACTGTAGCCCAACAAACTTACGTGTTTTGGTTTAAAAGGTCCCTCGTCTTATTTTTTTGCTTTCTAAGGGCATTAACTTGTGTTTTACCTGCTAATTTGGGTAAACAACTCATTATAACCGGTTAGATATGCCAAATAGGTTAGAAAATGATGACATGTAGCCTCGTCAGCAACACTTGGAGCCTAGTAGACTTCTGCATCGTCAACAACTTAGGGAATTTATCTAAGCACTACTCTGACACTTTTTCTCACATAAAAAAAAAGATTTCACCTTTTTTCTTTTATCTTTTTCAAAATAGGGAAATGGAAAAATCTTAATTTCATTAACAATGGTGGCCTCTAATCACCACAACGTGTCCAGGTTTTGAAGCTTCCCGATTTCCGGAGGAACTTCACCGGAGAGACCACAGTTGGCAGCGTCGAGGCGAATGAGGCGTGATAAATTACCGATTTCTGGAGGAATACCACCAGTGTAACCATTGTAGTACCCAAGGTAGAGCTATTGGAGGTTTGTTAAGTTTCCGATTTTGGGAGGGATGGAGCATGTGAGTTTGTTCGCAGGTGACACCGGACCAAGTCAGTGGCTGGTAGAAAAGTCCCAGGTGGAAAGGGAGGACTGAGGGTCGTCGGAGACGACGTGTTTGGGGGAAATTAGTGCTTGGTATTCCGACAACCGGCTTGATTTGGTAGCGAATGAGTTAGGAATGCACTGTAACAGCAGTAGGAGGAAGAGGAACCTCATCTTGTGGTCAATATCTCACATACACACATACACACATTGTTTATTTCAGAGAAAAAAAATGGGGAAGAAGAAGAAGAAGGGCGGGTGAAGAATTAGGGAAGGAGTAGAAAGAGAGTGATATCATAGTGTGTGATCTGGAGGAAAATGGTTATAACTTTTATACTCCTTTTTTTCTAAATGGGTAAATTGCATCAACGTCGTCGATCAGATTTGATGTTCATGATTAGGGCTTGTTGAAATTGGAAGGCGGAGAACAGAGTGAAGAATCGTCGTCGATCAAGATTTGATGTTCATGATTAGGTTACTCTGTCAATAACAAAGAAGACGCAGAACAGAGTGAAGAATGTTGATTGAAATCGGAAGAGACACCGCTGCTATCTTTTCTGATTTAAACCTCCGATTTGTTGTGATGCAATTCATACGTGATTATTGGTTTTCTCTAAAACGAGAAGCAGATTGAGTCTTCGTTGATTTCATGGCCGTCGCTATTGAATTTAGGGTTATCGTAGGTCATGTACCGTGTCAATTGAGGGGAGACTTTAATAATTGAGTTTTGCATATTCAACCTGCTGACTAGGAAGGGGTTCACCGGATGACCCCTTCATTTTTTTTCAAAATGACCTTTTAAATCTTAAAAACATGAATTTGTACCTCTAGAATGCAAAAAAAAAAAAAAGACCTTTTAAACCAAAACATATAAGTTTGTTGGGCTACATGAACATTTACCCAAATTGTAATTTATTAATTGTTTGGTTTCCAATTCTTAGTTCTTAAACATAATAATCATTAGGAAACAAATGTCAAAAGATCACCACGAATCATGAGAAAATGAGAGAGCCAATATAGACAAAGAAAATAAAATAGTTGAATTAGACAATAAAAACCCACTATATCCGATTCAATTTTTTATTTAAAGACCTTTTCTAAATACAAAATATGGATGAAGAATTAATGATAATGAATTATAAGAATAACTAATTTTTGATTTTGTTCGTATTTAATTACATTTCTTCTTTTTTCACATCATTTAAAGTGGTTATTGTAGGTATATTTTAAACACAAAAAATAAATTTGCAGGTAAACTATAAAAAGAAAAATGACCATGACCATGACCAAAAGTAAAAATTTTATTATCTCATAATTCATTATTCATTCTTAATCTATTTTTTAATTTAATTAAAAAATCTATTAACTTGTAAAATATTTGTTTTTGTAAAATTTTATTTTATAAAGCTATTTTAAATCCCTTTCTTATATTAATAAAAAATAAGTAAACATTAAAATGTAATTTACCAACGTCCATATTTATAATAAATGAAAAATATTATGATTATTATTTAAACATTATATTTACAATAATAATCGGACGGACATTAATGTTACATGCACATTAAGATAAACATAAAAATATTAGCTTAAAACTCCTAAATATAAAATTATTCGAAATCTCTAAATTGTAATTTCAAGACCTTTTCTAAATACAAAATATGGTTGAAGAATTAATGATAATGAATTATAAGAATAATTAATTTTTGATTTTGTTCGTATTTAATTACATTCCTTCTTTTTTGCACATCATATAAAGTGAATTTAATTTTTATGTTAAAAAAATACTATTATCATCGGTTATTGTAGGTCATAATGATATTCTAAACACCAAAAATAAATTTGCACGTAAATTATAAAAAGAAAAATGTCCATGACCAAAAGTAAAAATTTTATTATCTCATAATTCATTGTTCATTCTTAATCTTTTTTTAATTATATTAAAAAAATCTATTAATTTGTAAACTGTTTATTTTTATAAAATTTTATTTTATAAATCTATTTTAAATCACTTTCTTATATTAATAGAAAATAATTAAACATTAAAATGTAACTTACCAACATCCATAATTATAATAAATGAAAATTAATATGATTATTATTCAACCATTATATTTACTTAGAACTTCAAACTTTTGAAGGTTTCACAAGTGAGGATATTAAATAGATATATACATCAAACGCTTGCACAAATATTTGAGTAATACATAAAAGTTCAAGAAAAATAATTTCCTCCTTTAAAACATCAAACTTCAACCACTTGTTAAAATCTTAAAATTTTAAGAACTTTTTATTTTCTTTCCTAGAACTTTATGTCTTACTTAAATGTTGGTGCAAATATTTGATCTTCATAACTCCTTGATATTCTGGTTTGTAAAAAAACTTGGAAAACTAAAGTTTCTAATGAAATTAAAACAAACATTTAATTGCGTAATTGATTTTAATCGGTATAAAAGAAGATTAAAAAATGGACTTAAAAAATATTAATTTATAAAAAATTATTTTTATAAAAAAAAGATTTCATAAGTCCATTTTTAATCTCTTTATACCGGTCACAAAAATTAAACAATTAAATGAGGTAACAAAATTTTACTTTTGTTCGATTTAGTCACTTTCATTTTTATGTACATAATTACTAATGCATTTACTTTGTGTTAAAAAAATACCCTTATGATAACCAGTTGTAATTGTATTTTTTAAACACAAAAAATAAGTTTACTTATAAATGATTTATAAAAAGAAAAACAAATAAATATGAACGAGAATTATTCTCTTAAGTCATTTCAAAGATTCCTTATAACCACCTTTTGAAATAGATTCAAAACCATTATAACCAGCTTTGATGCAAACCAAGTTATTTTGTGCTTAACGCTTATATAGTTCAAATCAAAACAAACTCATATATGCATTTAGTTCAAGAGTTAATTTGGGATCGAATTGGTTCTAAACAAAAAACACAGAAGTAAAAATTTCAACATATGTATACGACAATTATTTTGTAATCTATTGGTAATGAGTTAAAAAGAAACATAAAAACAGTATAAATCACTTAAATGTATCTGCATACTTATGAAGTCCTAAAATATTTTTATTTAAAAATATATTATTATATCATTTTTTGTTTTTCACCTAGTTCTGATTGGATCCGATTTTAATCCGAGTATAACTTGACCCGACCCATAAATAATCCGAGAAAACCCTAATTTTTTATGTCGATTTTATAGGACCAATTGGCACTATTTCTAGTCCAACGATTACAGCTCCCCGCAATCCCAATCAATTAAAATATTCACGCGCCACCATCATCACCACGTGCGTACTCGCTATATGTTTGATCATTTTTTCGTTTATTTATCCTTTTAATCTCTCTCAATTAAAGATCGCCGGAGGAGAACGAACGACGGCGAATCTAGCTGAGTTTGGCTAGGGTTCCTGTGAATTTCCATATCTCGTTTGATTGTGTTTCACAGCTGCGCTATTGAACATGGCGTCGGAGGACGTGGTCGGGAAAACGAGCGCTACGATCGCGAATATCGCTGAAGAAGCAAAGATAGCGAGTGAAGGTGTGAAGGCTCCGAGTCGTCTCGCTTTACTTGGCATCTGCAAATCACTCGCCGCCGGAGGCATTGCTGGTGGAGTGTGAGTTCTTCCGTTCTCGCTGTTTCGTTTTCAATCAATAATTGTTCGTTTTTCACTGATTTTGTTTTTATATCCTACGTTGTGCTATAAATTTCTGATTGAATTTAATCTAAATCAATCATGAGTGTGCAGAAGTGTAGATAGAAAGATTTGTGAATTAGATTGTTTTCTAGATTACATTTTTGAATGTGAAATCTTTCTTCTGATTCATTTTAGTTACTTGTTCCGTGGGAATTCTTTTTAGCTGAATAGCTGAAACATGATGATTTTAACGAATAACGACTGATTGATTCTTATTTAAGGAAAAAAAAAAACTAAAATTCAAAGATGACTGGCCGGACGTTGAAAACAAAGATCAATTATTAAATGGAGCTATTAAATGATCAGTGTTAGTGTTAAAATTTATACATATTTATGTTGTATTATATCTTCGGTTCATTGTTTACCTCTATCAAGAACTTGGAAATGACTTCTGATGCCTGCAAAATCTTTTTAATGGATATTATGCTTTTGGCATAAGTGGTTGCTTTAGTATCTTAAAAAGCATTATTCTGTGGGATAGCTGTTAGAGCTACCACTACTTTACACTTTAGAATATTTTGAAACTATGAAAAAGCTATTCAGAAACTGAATGTCAGTTAAAGATATGAAGAAGTTAATATGGATGACTAGGAGTAGGAGGTACACTACAGAAAGAACACAAGTGACTGTAATACAAAGGCAAAAAGGGGGGAATATAAGTAAAAATTACTTGAATAATTTAAAGCATGCACATATTTTATATTTATGTCTTGTAAGATGAGAATCAACATTTTGATAATCTTTAATGTGAGTCTTAACTTCTAAACATTGATATTAGTTTTGGATTTCAGTTAATTTGATTTCTTTATGTTGCAGATCACGCACTGCTGTTGCTCCTTTAGAACGATTGAAAATTCTTCTCCAGGTGGATCTCTTACCTAATCTTTTTCTTTTAATTTCTCACTTGTTTTATGTTCAAGAAAGTGAATTCATCAATCTTTATGTCTTTGAATCAACCCCAATAATGGCTTCTTGCATTAGAGTATAATTAAAGATTTTATATACATGTAGAATACTAAACACAGATGATTTTGTTAAATTACAGGTTCAAAATCCACATGCAATCAAATACAATGGAACAATTCAGGGGTTGAAGTATATATGGAGAACAGAGGGTTTAAGAGGAATGTTTAAAGGAAATGGCACCAATTGTGCTCGCATTGTCCCAAACTCTGCTGTCAAGTTCTTTAGCTATGAAGAGGCATCCAAGTAATGCTTTTTTTATGCTCATAATTGTCTTTCTTTAGTCAAAGTTGGTTGCTTTAACATCTTTCTTTTTCCATAAACAGGGGAATCCTGTGGCTCTATAAGCAGCAACCTGGAAATGGTATGACTATACATTCTTTTTTTATTTTTTTTATTTTTATGAAATGGGTTACTTGGACATACTTTTTTAAACTTAAGTGTTAAATGCATATTTATGCAACAAGGTTTTACATTTTCCCAGTTTATGTAACAATTTGGTTTTTAAACGAAATATGCATCCACATTTAATTTCATAAATGCTTATTTATGCAACCATGCTTACTTTTACCAATTTATGCTATAATTTTTCACCTTTTAAACAATTTATACAAACTTGTTCCACTTTTTTTCACCAATATAGGCAAAAAAAAAAATCACCGTTTGACTAATTGATTTAACATAATTTCAAGTTTTACCTATTTATGCAACAATGTTTCACCTTTTTACCAATTTATGCAACAATCTACACTTTTTTTATACCAAATTATGCAACAATAGTTCAACCAACCAGTTAACAGGTTACCATTAAACTATCTCCTCTTTTTATCCAAAAATGAAAATGTTCCTTTGCATATTTCTATAAAAATTCACTTTTACCTTTAACCACTTAACTTAAACATGCATAAATTTTTGTCAAATATAAATCCCTGTTAGAATTTTTTATGTTTTATCTTTTTTTCTTCCAGAGGATGCTGAACTCACCCCTCTCTTACGCCTTGGAGCCGGTGCTTGTGCTGGAATAATTGCCATGTCAGCAACCTACCCAATGGACTTAGTCCGTGGTCGCCTTACTGTCCAGGTATATATATATATATATATATATATATATATATATATATATATATATATATATATATTTATTCTTTAATCTCCAACTAAAAATTAAAACTTTTTATTTATTTTCAAATTTTCATTACTAATCTTTAGATCTTTTCAGACGGATAAATCTCCTAGCCAATATAGAGGAATCGCTCATGCTCTTAAAACCGTACTCCGTGAAGAAGGCCCACGCGCATTATACAAAGGATGGCTCCCTTCTGTCATTGGTGTCGTAAGTTAAAACTCATATACAAACGATGGCTCCCTTCTGTGCCTGTGCCTGTGCCTAACAGTAACAGTATTTGTATCGATGTTTGTAGGTACCATATGTGGGGCTTAATTTTGCGGTATACGAATCGTTAAAAGATTGGTTGGTGAAAACAAGGCCATTTGGGCTAACGGAAGGCACGGAGCTGAGTGTGACCACAAAGCTTGCATGTGGGGCCGCAGCCGGAACCGTGGGCCAAACGGTGGCTTATCCTCTTGATGTGATTCGGCGGAGAATGCAAATGGTCGGGTGGAAAGACGCGGCTTCGGTTGTAACCGCAGATGGCAAGTCAGGACTCGAGTACACCGGAATGGTCGATGCCTTTAGGAAAACCGTTCGCTATGAGGGCTTCCGTGCATTATACAAAGGCCTCGTCCCCAACTCGGTCAAGGTCAGTCTTCATCATTCCATTTAAAATTTTTCAAACTTCAAAGTCAATGTCTTAATAAGAAAAACATCGAAAGTAAAATGGTATAATTATAATGATACAGAAATAAGTAAAAGTAGATTGGCATTTGTTGTTTGTTTAGGTGGTACCATCAATAGCTATTGCGTTTGTGACGTATGAGGTGGTGAAGGACGTATTGCATGTAGAGATGAGGATATCCGATTAAAGAAATAGCATCCTACTTTACTAAACTTTAATGTTAGTTAAAGTTAAAGTTAAAGTTTGTGTGCGAAAGGGTAAAACGGTAAAAACTACCAAGTGGAAATTTTTTTTGTTCTCTAAGTGTCTAGAGATTTAAGAGTAGCCCATGTTTATATACAACAACACCCATAGCACCAGGTGTAGTAGTTTGGTTTTTAAAGTATTTGTACCCACATCCACAGTATTTAATAAGGATAGGCTTGGAGAGCTGAGTCCCGTGGTTTTTTTTTTTTTTTTTTTTGGTCTTGGAAGTGAAGTTATTGTTTGATTAGTATATTATTAACATATGATAGTGAATTTATATAAAGTTTTTATGTTGCTTATTTATTTCTTTTGTATACATCGATATAAAGTAAAGACTTAAGTTGTGGGATATCAGTAACTTTCATCATGGTTTTAAGCTGTTTAGTTTATAACTTTGAGCTTGAGGTGTTATAAATGACATCAAAGCGGTTTTTAGGTAATATTGCTAGTATATAAAAATAAACAAACAGACTTTATTCGGTTATAACTTTTTTATTTGAGTGAAGTTACAAGCAGCAATAAATTATTTTACTCGAATTAAAAGTAAAAACTTAGTGAAGTTTATTTTTAGTCAGATAAGTTATTTGTACCTAATCAGATAGTTATAGCATATTAAGAAATTCATGTGAGTTTTTTGGAGGTGGAAGGATGGGTTGGGTTCCTCCTATTAACGAAGACAATGAAAAGGCCTCTAAATGTGAATTTTTGAATAACCGGTCGAATAAAGATATTGTGAGTGAAAAGGAGTTTGATGATGATGATTTTTCTGAAGGGATTCCAAATGATTCTAACTATGAAAATCTGAACGATTAACAAGAAAAAGATGACGAACTCAAGGAAAAGGTGGAATCGGGGGAAGATAATAATTGTCCTTTGGGAGATCATATATCATCTTTAAAAATATGAGAAAAAAATCAAAACAAATCGATGAGGGTGTTGATAAGGATGAATCAAGAATGGCTACCCAAGAGTTCCCTTCGTGATTCTCTCCTACCTGGTTGAAAAATCTATTGTCTAATGGTGTAAATGAAGGTGGGAAACAACAAAATGGCACTGAAGGTGACACTAAGGCCATAAAATGATCAAATTGAACATCAAACATCACCAGTACAACACCTGTTCGGAAGATAAGCAACAAAGTTTAGGCAATGTCTCATGTTGGCAAGGAATGTGATTTCTAAAAGAAAAGAAAAAAAATGATATTTGGATGATAAATGGAAGGTTAAACACCATTAAACCAGATAAAGCCGTGGGATACTCGATGAAGGGGTGTGAAAAAGATCTAAGAAACGTTGTTTGTAGGACAGGGACATTCATATATTAAATGCATACGTTTTCGATAAATATTTGTAATTTGGGGGAAGATGGAAAAGAGGATGGATTCAGAAGTTATGGACTTTTCATGGAGTGATTTTTTTGGGAGTTCAAGTTCTTAGATATTTGTGGGGTAACATCGATTTTGATTATGCATGTAGTAGTCCTAGTGGTAGATGGTGTGGTATTCAACCTATATGGGATCTATCTAGATTGTGTAAGCAATGGGTTTCATGTACGAAGTACTATGTTGTAATTGAAGGTATTTGGTGGAATTGTAATGTTCGAATCACGTTTATTAATGTGTACTGCCACAAGAGGCGGTGATTGATTGTAGGCCAACATCCTTTCAAACGCTTCCATTCTTGGTTTTTTTTTATGGAAGAGTTTGATGGGGTGGTAAAAAGTTCTTGGAATGCAAATACTCATGAATAAATGGTTTATAAGAGTATTATCTTTAATAAGATGATTCAATGTCTCAAAAATGATCTTAAAGTTTGGCATGTTAATAGGAATCATTTTCAGTTTTGTAAGAAAGTTTATTTAAAGAAGGTTATTGATAAGATTGATACTAGAACCGAAGGTGGTGTTACTTCAGTTTCGAGATGATATCACTTTGGAGGCTACATATTTAGCTCAAAAAGTCAAGATCATTTGAAGGTGGAGGGTGTTGAAAACTCAACGTTTTTTCATGGGATGTTGATTGTTGAAGCGCACATAAAAACAAGATATGCAAGTGGTGTAATTTTTTTTTTTTTTTTTTTTTTTGGGTGATCCTTTAATTGTTAACGAAATTATTATTGAGTGATATAAGGCGAAAAATAAAAAGTTAATGTTGTTCAACGTTGATTTTAAGAAGGCTCATGGTTTCGTAAGTTGAGAATGTAATTATAACTATTTGATGGTTTAATTAGAAACTATAAAAAAATACTTAATTTGCAATTACACATTTACTTATAACTAGATAATTATCTACTTAATCATTTTACTACAACAAGTCAAGTTATCTGATGAACGTCGCAATAATCACAAAATGCACACCCAAAAGATCCCCCACCCAACCCCCAACCCCAATTTTGCTTCTTATTCAAACCATACCCAAAAGTAGCACTACTGAACAAGCACGAACCAAAAATCAAACAAAAACAAAGACCAAAATGACTTGTGAAACTCCTATACACACTATCTCCTCCAATTTGGTGTAATACCAAAACAAATAACTTCGACTCCAAACACTCCAGAACCCTCAACATGCACAAAATGCAAATGCTGACTACTTCAAAATCAAAACAGTTACTTTCTGACATGCGTTTAAGAGCTTTAGCAGTTCCTAAACGCATGTCAGACAGTAAACATTGCAATACACTTACCTCACCGTCTGCTGTTAATGTTATCCAGTACCGGTTTCAAAACTTCTAGAAGACTGTCACACCGGTCACGTTGATAATCACCCCAAACACACAACTGCCTTATCGCCTCTCTTTTATCCTCACAAACACACAACATCTCTTCATCTTTCACACAAATCACATCTTCAAGTTCTTTAATCTTCTCATCTTTTTCCAAAATCCTACCCTTAACATCCTCCAAGGAACCACTCAATTCCATCACCCTTTCCTCAACTTTCCCTTTCAAATACTCGTTATTTGACCGATTTACCCTCGCTTGAATCTCAACAGCTTTCACTTCGTTTCTAATCTCACAAACCCGCGTCATCACATGCCCGAAATCCTCCTCAAATTTTACGGTTAACAAGTCAAACCCTTTCAATGTCTCGCTGACTTTCTCTTGAACTTCCTTTTTCATGAAACTGATTGTTTCGGATAATGTTGAGATTTTTTCGATTAGGGTTTTGTTTTGTTGATGGAGCTTTTGTTCTTTTGTTGCGTGATCGTGTTCTGTTTCGTGTAACAGCTGTTCTGTTATACGAAGCTTTTGATTTGATAACCGGATTTTGACTTCGAGGTTTCTGACTGTTTCGGTCAATGTGTTGACTTCGTCTCCTTTGATTTCAAGATCATTTTTCAGGTCTTCAATGGCTTCTTCAAGTTCATCGACTATCTGTTTTTTTGACCTCACACCATTTTCGATTTCCTCTGTTGTTTCTTCAATTTTCATCTCTAGTCGTTTAATTTCTACTGATAATTCTGAAACTTTTTGGGATAGAGATTTGTTTTCTGCTTCAGTGGCTTCTAGTTTTTGAATCGCGTTTGATTTCTCCTCTTTAATGGCTCTTAATTCTTCTATAGCTTCCATTTTTTCTATGTTGATAGCTTCGATTTTGGAATTGAGGTGTGTTTTTTCAGCTAAAAGTTTAGAATTTTCTTCATGGAATCTATGAGATTGGAGTTTCGAGTCATTAAACATGTACTCTGTTTCTTGTACCTTGTTTAAAGCAGACTGATATTGTAAATTTAATGCTTCCTTTTCTTCTGTTTCAGCTTTCAACTTTCGATTCAGTTCTTCAATCTCTCTATTTGCTGCTTCAACTTCTACTTTCAGGCTATCTGCAACCATGTCCAAATTCCCATTTTTACTTTCTTTTTTATTTGAATCTGAATCTGAATCTGAACTTGATGATAAAGAAGAAGAGTCTTCCTTTTCTTTCTTTGAACGAACTTTCTCCTTCAGTTTTCCAGTGATGTTATCATAACGTTGATAGATCGATTGATAACGTGTGTGGAATTCCTCAATTAATCCAGCGAGTTTGTTCTTATCATCTGGATTTTCATCTTTTAGAAGCTCTAGAATCTTCTCGTAGTTGTCTTCCGTTTCTACAGATTAAAAAATAAGACAATTTAAAGTAAAACAAAAGGAAAGAGATGTAGAGTAAAGTATACTAGTATATACCTATATTAGTGTTTTTAAGCTCTTCATCTTTGTCAGGATCAATGAGACTTCCAACAATTGACTTAACTCTATTTCTGAAACGATGCTTCCTCATTTTTCTCTTGAAATCTTGAAGAAGAAAATGGAGGTGGGGTTTGTCAACAAGAGAAAATGGTCTTCATCTTCAACACAATTGAGTTTGATCCTGAAAAAGGTATGTATCCATGAGAAAAGTAAGCTCAAATGAAAGGTGAATCCCACCCAAAAAGATGAAAGATGTTATGTATAAAGTAATGAATATCCTTGAGGGAAATAAAAGTATAGAATAACAAATATAGGTTAACAAACTTCAACATACTCTTACAATAAAACTAAAAGTATGACATTTGACCAGAAAAAGTGTTGTTGGTATTTATCTAATGTATGAAAAGTGGCTATAGGAAAAGCAAAAGGAGGATTTTGTTTTTTTAAATAGTAACATATTTAAGAGTTTGACAAATGGCCGAAATTTTAGAATTTAAAAAAGGACAGCTAAGAATTTTAATAGTATGATGAAGCTAGAGAGAGAGAAATGACGTTATTTTGTGTGGTTAATAACGGAAAAATATAAGGAAACTAAAATTTCAAATTACAGGCATGATCCTTGTTGATCAATGATCTGATCGGATTATTTTTTTTTGGAAACTATCTGAAAAGGATCATCAGAAGAACGATCGCAGCAAATTGGGGATTCAAGCCTTTTAACTTCAGAAATGTAAGAAAATCAGATTCAATAGAGAATCGAATTCCAAACTCTGAAGTCTGAAAAGAAATCAACATACAAATAAATTTACGAAGTTAGAATTTGCTTACAACTGATGATTCAAGCTCATTAACTTCAAAATACGAAAGCAAATACAACAAAATTGAATAAGAAACGATAGGGCTCCAACCGAACTGAAATCGAACAATCAGCAAAATCGATTGACACAGAGTTACAAATCCAGTCACACTCCACTAAAAGTCTAAAACCATATAAGGCGAAGCCAAAAGGTCGAAGATCAAATGTTTCCAGTTTTGAGAAACGATTTTCAGATATTAATCGGAGTAAAACACAGAATTTGCTAGATTAACGATGACGAGGTTTATGAACATTCGACTGAATTACCTGTGAACTGAATCCGAGCTTGAAACCTCGAAAATCTCAGATCCTACACGGAGCTTGCAGAAACTGAAATTGTGATACAAACTAGGTGATGAAATCAGGTAACAAGTTCTAACTAATGATGAAGAAATAGATGAGAAATCAACCGACCTACTGTTGAATCGAACAGTGCTTGAAAAACTTCCTGAATCTCTGACTCTACATGGAATCAAAGATTCCAATGGATTGAATTGAAATGCTCCGTCAAGATATTTGCCTATTTGGTGTATGATTGAGAGAGAGAGAGAGAGAGAGAGAGAGAGAGTGTGTGAAACTTGAAGCCTTGAGTCTTGACCCGTCAAAAAATCGATAAGATTTCGTTTTTCTATGTCCAACCATTTTAAATGAATTTAATAAGACCCCTTGGATATTCAAAATGGTCAATTTACACCCCTATGGTTTGTCATATAAAAGCACCAAACATATAGAATGCCAAGTTAGAACTAAATCTAATATATATCATATCAATTCAAATAACAAAATGGTGTTGATTTTTTTTTATAATTATCTAGCATATTAAACATGATTTCAAGAAATATATAATCATAATAATATTTTTTAGGATAAAACCAATTATGAGGTTATATGCATCAAATTATATTGTCGGTTTTTGACTCATTTTATTTGGTTATTTTTTCATCTTTATCAATTTTCACTTATTAAGTTAAAAGATAATCAAAATGAATCATCAATAAGTAAATTGGTCAAAATTACCGACTCTAACAATTGATAATTGATATAATATGTACAATAAAATTAGGCATACAGGGAAAACATGGCACAACTTGAGAATTAGGGTATCTCGGCAAAAGTAACTAATAGTTGATAACTAGAAGTTGAAGTTTGTAGTTGTTTTGTTGTAGAAATATTTGTTAAAAATAATATTAAACTTTTGAAATATATAAAATTACATAAAAATACATTCAAAAAAAAGTACATGGTTTTTCATGGCTACTATTAGAAGGTGTTTGAGATGACTTTTAAAACAACTTCTAAAATTTATAACTTTTTAAACTCTTTATGACTTTTTGAATCGTAAAAAACAATATTACCTTAAAATACCATTAAGTTAAGATAAACACTTTTAAAAAAAACAATTTATTAACTTATTTTTTTTCATCACAAAAACTAATCCAAACGTGTTTCTAAAAAACTTTTTTTTTCAACCACCATAAATCAATAAATCATTTTCTCTAAAAGTCATTTTAAGGATCAAAATGAAATCTCAAACACCCTTTAAAGATAATTTGGTAAGGTAAACAAAAATGGATATATTGGATTGTTGGTTGGTTATATACTTATTTATTAAACGTCCATTTATGGTAAATAAGATCATTTATTTATAACTGTCAACATGTTTTTTCAGGTAATTAAATAAAATAGTGTTTCACATTGTGAAGTTTTTGTTATCAATAGTGTAAATAAGATTTGATACAATTTCCGGGGAGCTGGATGAAAAATTGCGAACTTGGGTGTGAAGACAAAAATGGTTTTGTCTCGTTTGCAAAAACAAATTTAGACTTCGTACTTCGGAGACTCCAAAGACAGTACTGAGGTGATACAGCGACATATTTTAAGGACACGAAATTTCTCCTTCAACTTTAAGCTAGTGTTTGTTTTTTGTCTCTACATCTGCGTGGCCTCTTCTGTCTGCGCCGCGCAGACCACGCGCAGACATTAGCATTCGCGGACTGTTTGTTTTTTTGAAGACTGCAGACCTAAAAATGTCTGCGCACCCTCTTCTTGGTGCAGATGTGGACCAGAGTCTTCTAACATCTTCAGATATCTTCTAGCCTAAAAAAACATATATATCTTTATTTTTTTAAAGTTTTTTTTTAATTTATATTTTTTCCAACTTTATTAATGATAAACAATTTGAAAAAAAAATTACAAAACTTAAAAAAAAAACGTTCGACGATTCAAACATGATATTTTTGACAAATTTATAAATAAATATTTATTTATAATAATAGTACATAAATATGAAAAAAAAATCATAATATATTCTTATATTTTTTTGCCAAATTTTGTAAAACATTATTTAATACAGTATCGTCAATTTCTCGAGAAAATATTTATGGTACGATTTTAATGGATTTAATTGAAAAAATTGAAGTTTATTTCCATCCATTTATGTATCAAATTCTTTGATCACTAATTATAATGTTTAGTTATAACTTTGCAACCAAAGTTGTTGGTTTTTATCAAATATATACGTTAATTCATACCATTTTTATTTTTATTTTTTATACAATAATACATAAAAGTTGATCTAGATTCGTTAATTATTTATAACAAAGCCATAAAAATATTAAAAAATCACTTTGAAGTTTAAAAAAAATCAGTTTATTTAGATTTCAGTTTATTTTAGTAGCCCGCAGATGTTAAAAAACAAACAGTCTTCTTTTTTCAGACTGCAGACGTTTGGTCCACCTCTTCTACTGCAGAGGTCTACAGATGTGGTCCGCAGACTGCAAACATTTTGCCTCAAAAAAAACAAACAGCACCTAAGATTATTACAATTTTGCCACAGTTTATTGGGCATCTTGTGAGAATATCTTTATTTTTGAGAGCGAGATTAATTTTGTATCCATGTCATCCAAACATTTAGGGTGCGTTTGGTTGTGAAAAAAATTCTAGTTTTTTAGGAAAATTTTCCAAAAAACAAAAATTTTGAAAAATGCGTTTGCTTCGTTCAGTTTTCCAAAGTTTTCTAAGAAAATGAAAATTTTCAGTTTTCTAAATTATATGTAAATTAGAAATGAATATATACACTAAAGTCCCAATATTTTCATCGATTTGACAAAAAAAGCCCTAAACTTTATTTTTTTACAGTAAAGTCCAAATTACCGGCAGTTTTTGACATTTTTATCCTTTTTTTCCGGTTAGCCGGTAATTAGGATTTTTTTGTCAAAAAAATAAAGTTTAGGACTTTTTTTGTCAAATTGTCAATTAGGACTTTACTGTCAAAAAAATAAAGTTTAGGACTTTCTTGAAAAATTGTTGAAAACATTGGGACTTTAGTGTATATATCCATATTTTTTTGTTAGAAATTTAATGGTATGATACTCTTTAAGCATAAGAGTTATTGAAACCTTCTCTAATCAGCTAGATCCTATTGAAATCCTTAATGTTTGCTTCTCGTTAAATCGTTTTTTTAATTTCAACAAACCGACATTGAAAAAAATGGAGATAATCAAGAAAGAAAGAAAGAAAGAACCAGGGTTGTGTTGGCTTTTTGCAGTCCCAAAATGGAGAAATAAGAAACCGAAAAAAAAAAACGAAATTCCCTTCTTTCCATTCTCCACATTCACACATTTTTGACTAGGCATGTGTTGTTTGTGTTTGTATAATCTGTCCCCACTTTTTAGTTCAAGATTTGGTGGCGAAGCAAGAAGAAAGTTTTACAAGTCTTTTCACCCTTTCTCGCTCTCACTTTTGCATATGTTTCTCCTGATCGTGATTGTGTCAGGGTAGAAATGATGATGGTAAGAAAAACAGTGGTGCTGCAACAAAAGTCACAATTAAAAGTTTTTGGGTTACGAAAATACACTAAAGTCTCAATATTTTCAACGATTTGACAAAAATTTCCTAAACTTTATTTTTTTGACAGTAAAGTCCTAATTGACGATTTGACAAGAAAGTCCTAAACTTTATTTTTTTGACAAAAAAGTCCTAATTACCGGCTAACCGCAAAAAAAAGGGTAAAAGTGTCAAAAACTGCAGGTAATTTGGACTTTACTGTAAAAAAAATAAAGTTTAAGACTATCTTGTCAAATTGATGAAAATATTGGGACTTTAGTCTATATATCCCAATTAGAAAAACAAGTTTTACAGTTTTTCAAAGTTTTCCAAATTTCTAAGTTGGAAAATAAAAACTTCACCGCTTCCAACCAAACGTGTTTTCTAATTTTTCATTTAAAACTGAAAATAAAAACTCAACTCTATTTTCTGAAAACATTTTCTTAGAAAATGAAAACATTTTTTCACAACCAAACGCACCCTTAGGTTTGTATTTGGGCCATTGGAAAAAAATTTAGTTTTCTAGGAAAATAAAAAAAAACATAAGTTTTGAAAACGCGTTTGTTTCGTTTAGTTTTTTCAAAGTTTTCTAAGAAAATGAAAATTTTTCAGTTTTCTAAGAAAATGAAAATTTTGAGTTTTCTAAATTGTATTTAATTAGAAAAACGATTTTTTATAGTTTTTCAAAATTTCCAAATTTCTAAGATGAAAAATGAAAACTCTACCGGTTCTAACCAATCACGTTTTCTAAAATTTTCATTGAAAACTGAAAACTCAACTCAACTCTATTTTCTGAAAACATTTTCTTAGAAAATGAAAACAGTTTTCCAAAACCAAACAGTTTTTCAAAAGACAAATTATTGAAATCGACTCTGTAGTTTGCTAAAATTTTCGTGTTCGATCACTAATTTTTTTTTTTTTTTTTTTTTTTGCATTCGGACCATCCTAGGTTTTTTTGTTATAATTTTCGTCCTTTACCGACATAATTAGATTGTTATACCCTTACTATATTTTTTTATATTTAAAATTATATTGAAATTTTATTTTAGGCTTGGGTACCACATACCCCCATTCCCCCCCCCCCCCCACACACACACACACACTCTCTCACTTATTCCCTTTTATATCCACGATCGACTTGCTCAAAGCATATCTTCATCTTCTCTAAACTCAAACCTGAAGCCACATCTCCACCTCAACTCTTCTGTTGGAGTCATCGTCGTCGCTAGAAAACTACAAGTCTAAACTCGTTGTTGCCCTAGGGTTTCCATTTTTTCAATATTTGTTTATTTGCCGACAGATGCGAGGTTAAGACTTCTTTGATCTCTGTTGTTATCCCTTGCCTTCTCACTCTGCCTATTGAAAGCTCCGCCCAAGTGCACGTTGATTTGGACAATGATTTTCTATATGGGGTTCGATTTGGTTAACACCATCGTGGCCATCAACCTTCTTCTCTTTTCTCCATTCAAAATAAACCTACCACGGTACACCTAGATGTAGACTCCAATTTATGGTTTGTGTTTTTCTAATTAGATTTAGGCAACGATAAACGATAAACACTGATGCATTTTTCTCTTCTTTTTCCATCGATTTGCCCAAATTATGAGTAGATTTAGGGTGTTAGTTAATGAGAGTAGTCGTGGAGGGTTTAATTTTTATTTTTTATTTTGGTTTATTTCTTTTGATTTGGTTGGGTGACCGGGTGAAATAGGAGGGTTAGCCTAAGGTGCTGTCAGAACGAGGTTAACTATTGTTGTTAAATGGAGGTTGCCAGATGTGGAGGTGCCGTCGGAGAACCTTTCTCTTTCGCTCTACTCAACATCTCTCTTAAAAGATCACCGACACCATCAAACAAGCAAGTTTCAAGTTTTTGGAAAAAAAAAAACGCAAATTTCACTTTGTTGGAACCCAAATTAAGGTTTGAATTCTAGTTCGATTTTCAGGTTTTTGGGTATATTATAGTTTGATAATTGTTTGAGGTTCGACTATGGTGGTGGTTGGATGTAAGGCCCGGGTTTCGGGGCTAAACATTAATAGATGATGTAATAGTCTAGGTCAACTATTGTAACTCTTTTTGAAGTAATAAAAATGAATTATTTGAGTATTATGTGAATTATGTGAATTTATGTGCTTTATACTTAATTAAAAAGGTATAATTAATAAAGAATAAAAATAAGCGTCAAAATTAAAGTGTGAGATAAACCCAATATCTTTACATAAAGTGGTGGTGGTCGAAACAAGGATTCCGGGGATAT